GCCCGGAGGCCGCCCGGGGCGCCGCTCCGCATGCTCCTCGCCCGCCGCCGCCCGCCGCTCCCTCGCTCGCTGCTCGCTCCTCTCCCTCCCGTCCAGCTCGCCCGCAGCTTTTTTAATAATATTATTCTAAGCGGGCATGAGGCGCGGCGGCCCGCGCCCTGATTGGTCCGGTTATCTGACCCGGGGCCTGCCCGCGCCAGACAATAGTCGAGTCAAATTATTCGCCATGGAGACGCTGTCAGTCACCGGTAACCCGAGCCCCAGCGCCCGGACGGCTCCCCCCGGCCCGCTCCGCTGACAGATCGCCCGGCTCCGCGCCTGGCGGAGGGCGGCCCGAGACGGGGCCCGAGGCGCTCGGAGAGCAGGGCCGGCCGGGAGGGGCGGTGGGGGCGCGGCGGTGGTGATTGACGGGGCGGACGCCCAAAGAGCGGGGAAGCGGGAGGACGCAGAGGAGAGGCGCAGCGAGACGCGGAGAGGAAAAGGGGCGGACCGAGGTGGGGAGGCGCGGGGAGAAGCAGGGCGGAGGCCGTTTCGGGGGTGCCCGGCGGGAAGGGGAGGGCGGGGACTAGACGGAGCCTGGGGGAAGAAATGCGGGCCCGAGGTTTGCACGGGGCGGAGCTGCAGCCTCGCTCGGCCCCTCCAGGTGGGCCCCGCTTCTCCCTGGTCACGGGTCTCTTCCCGGGCCGCGGCTGGCGACGGACTGGACTCGGGAGTGGCCCCGTGGGACGGAGGGTTTGGATGCGCCCGGGCGCGTTCACAGGCGCGGCGTGTCCGGCTACCAGCGCCCCGCCCCCACGCGTAGAGAGCGGCCGGAGTTGTCTTCGAGGGAAAGGCGGAAGGAGTAGGGGATGGGGAGGAGGGAGGGTCCGTGGCCGCCGGCGGACGCCGGAGAATCAACTTCCCGGAGGATCCCGCCTTTCTCCCCTCTCCCTGCCGGGCCGGCTGCCCTGCGGTCGGTACCGCCCCTACTTGCGCACTCGGCTCCTCTCCGGGCGGGGACTCAGACTTAACCCCACGGCTCCCAGGGCCCAACGAGCTCCTGGCGGTTCCGTTTGGGCTTGACGGTGACGTAGAACGGAGGGGCGATGCAGAACCTCGCTCTGCGCACCGGCGGGCAGCTGGGGGAGGCGGTGTGGACGGCTGGGGTGCCTCCCGGGTGAACGTCCACCCCATCCTCGGGCCTCAGCTCTCGGCTTGGTGGGGGCGCCGTGCTCGCCAGCCTGGTAACCAACCGGCGGCCGAACGGGGGCCTTAGAAAGGAGGCCTGTCCTTTGGTTTGGTTTGGTCTTACTGCTAGTTTGTCAGGGCGCGACTCTGGTTCTCTGGGAAAAGGGCGCAGGTGGAGACTGCCGAACTTGGTGTGTCAGTGAGGGGTGCTTCTGCGAGCTTGCGGGTTTGAAAAGTCCTAGGCTTGGCTTCTTCCCCTCGACTTGTCCTTCCTTTAAGTCTTCAAGGGAGACTGTGCTAGGAACACTGAAATGGGAGTCTATATCCCTGGTTTCAACCTTTGCCTTTGCTTGATGTCTAGGGGGGAGGCATATATTAATCACTCAGCAGGGTTTCAAAAAACTTTCCCTCTGCTCTGGTATGCTGGAAGCCCTCAGGTACTGTTCCAGACGTGACAGTGTGGAGCCCCAGGGCTTCTCCCTAAGACTTTGGCTCCTAGGGACCTAGTCCCTTGCACTGAGGCCACTGGGCTGTGAAAGGAGGTTCTAAGCTAGTTCAAAGAGGACAGCTCCTCGTAAAATTCTGTGGAGTGTTCTAACCTTTTGTGAAGGAGGCTGGGTGGCCTGGGGAAGAGTTGATACTGATACAATAAGTTTTAGAACCCTGCTTGCAGACCTCTAACAAAGGGTAACCTACTATTTGCAAGACCAGTTAGCTGCCCAGGTCGAAGGTTTCAGCTGGCTGGTTGGTCCCAGCCTTAGCCAGGGGTGTTTTGTCTCAGCAAGAGTACCTTGGCTGAGAAAAGAAAAAAAGAGTACCTTGGCTGGGTGTGGGTGGGTAGGACCAAGCAGTTGGTTCCAAGACCCGTCAGCTTCCTTTTGTCCCACAACTGGGTCTGAGTGAGGAGTGGTGCAGGCATGGGTGGGTTTAAGAGCACTAATCTTGAAAAGGTGGGTGGGCTGTGCCACCTCAACACTGGCCTTCACCAGGAATGTGATTCTCCTTGGACTCCTGGAGCTTCAAGACTGAATTTCCCTGGGGACTGGGCCCTGCTCTTGTCCATGAAGGCAGATTTTCTGGACCAAGACTCCCTGTCACTTCCAGGGTGATCCCTTTGTAGTCCCTTGACCTCCCTGCCCAACAGTGATCATGCCAGGAGCCTCCAGGTCATGCTCAGCAGTTGAGACAGGAGCACAGGAGAGACAACCTGCTACCTTAGGCAGTATAGTGTGTGTCATATGCAGAGTCACTAGACAGCGCTTAATGAAATCCTGTAGCACCATAACTCGATGATGGATGGGTGTGTGTCTTTTATACAGCTAGTTATTCCTTTCTCCCATGTTTACAGGGAGCCAGTTTTAGCGGGTCTAGGCCAGAATATCTAGGCAGTAGGGGCCGCTGGATGCCTGCCCTAGAAGGTTAGGCGCTGAGCTAGGGTGTCTTCACACTCAGTCCTCCCAGCCCCCTCCCATGGGTCATTGCTACAGGACAGAATACTTGGTAGGTGTCCAGGTGAGGATTTGCTAGATACCAGCCTGATTCCAAGACAATGTCAGTGCCCCCAGCCACACTGAGTAGCTGCCTCAGAAACCTTTGATTGCTTCTAGTCCTAAGGTCATGCCACACCCATCCCCAGAATTCCTGGCCTCCATCTTTCCCTAAGGCCCACATTCAAGAGGCTTAGCCTAGAGTAGATTTTTCATCAAGTACAACAGAGCAGCCTCAGGGTAAGGAAGGAGAAAGTGTGCAAAACGGTAGAAAGCTGCATTCTATGGCAGCGCTTCCCGGCTCCTCCAAGCTGGCTGGAAGTCCCTTGGGAGGTCAGGCCTTCTGGAAGACAGCCACAGGGTGGGCGTTCTCAATGATCTCACATGGAGTGTAAGACTTTGCTTCTAACTTTTTGTAGGAGACAGTGTGAAGCCTGTCTGGAGTTGGGCAGGAAGCTCACAGGACAGATCCCCAAGGCCACCGCTGCTAACTCACACCATAGACCAGCCGAGTTGTGGCTACCCCCAGACGTCCAGAAAAAAGGCGACACCCCCAAAGACGTCTTTCGCTTCGAGTTAAGATCTTTTTGGAGGAAAGGGAGTGTTCAAGAGCGGAGATGTTCACTATTTCCAAGGTCCTTGGACAGGATGGCCTCTGTTTCCGTCAAATCCGAACCCTTGTTTGCGACCCAGGGGAAGGGGAGAGAACTCTCCGTGCCAAACGAAAACTGGAGCTCCTGCGTATGCATTTCAGTCTTTATATTTCCAGCTATAAAGTCAGCAGAGACCCTGAGAACTCATTGCAGCCCGGGCTCTGTGCCGCCAGGCTCCAGAGCATTCTGGACAGGGTGTGTGTGTGGGGTGGGGGGAGCGAGCCCCACAGCTCCGTGCATCCACTGGGTGCCCAGAGCCTTCTCCGCGCCGCTCACTCACTGCGATCCCGCAGCCCGCTTGGGGCCGGGCGTTGCGATTCGTTGAAAGCGGACCGGCAACACGGAGGCTCCCTGTGCCTGTTCATTGTCCCTGGCACCCTGGGGACTTGTGGCGGCAGGGCAGAGGCAGCCTGGCACGTGCACACCTCAGAGCCTCCCAGGTTTCGGTGTTGCTCCAGGTTTGGGGTTTTATCAAGGCGCGGATGTGAAGCTCACCCCGTGCTCCGAACACCCGGCCATCCTGGGCGCTGCTGCTGCAGACGCTGGGCTCTTGGCCTCGCTCCTGACAAGGTGAGAACCTGGCATCGCCTGCTGAACATGACAGCCATGGCCACAGCCCCGAGGGCGAAGCACAGGGCCACAGGCACTGTTGTCTCCGTGCTCCAGCCTTAGGTGCGACTCATGCAGCAGTCCAGAAGTTCCCCACAGGAAAGAAAACGATTTGAAGGCCGCGGTCCCCCGGGGGACCTTGTTTCAACGAAAAGAGGGAGCATTGGGGCTCAAGGCCCTTTGGGGGCCGGCATAGCAACCAATCGGTGCTGGTGGTGCCTGTGCTGGAGCCGAAGACTCAGGCCTAGAGCCTGGCCGCTTTCCCACATTGCTGGGGGCGCAGGATCTCCGGGCCTCCCTTACGTGCCACGCCCCTGCCTGGCTCCTTCGCCCTGGGGATGGGCGTAGGGTGCAAGCAGGGTGACTAGACATCGGGTGGGAGACCTGGCCTCGCAGGTTCTGGTTCAGGAAGCCGCCGAAATCTGCCGCTGAATTGTTTATCTGCGGCCCAGGCTGTTTGTCGGGTGGAACCAAACAGCGGTTGTGTATTGCCATCAGGTCAACTGCTGGGTCTGTGTGCGAGCGCCCCCACGAGGCAGGCCCTCCAGCTGGGGTCTGCTGGTAGGTTAGCAGTCTATGGGGCCTCTGGCGAAGAGCTGGAGGGTCGGAGTATAGCTCAGTCGCAAAGGAAGCGCCTGCCTGGCAAGTTCGAGATCCTGAGTTCAGTTTTTGGTACCCACAGAGGAGCGAGAGAGCCCCACCCCCTCCCCTTAGGGCCCTCTGGCTTCTCTGTCCTCACCCACCACCCACCAGCACTGACCAGCTAGGACCTGGCAGAGAAAACACCCATGGGACCGACTCTTTGGGCAGGAGTGCTGCAGACAGCTCACATGGCTCAAGATTCCTGGGGGTCAGATACTGACTTTTTTCTCTGTAGCAGGTTTCCCCTGGATCGCTTGGACGCCCAGCAAATGTTTGAATAGACGCCTGAAAGACTAGTGGGGTTTGACTG